CTTGGTTTGCTGTATATATAATATTATTAATATCTTTGAAATACTAGGATTCCTAGTCCTGATTGTATATGATTATTAGTGATATTTAATATAAGTTTTTTTATTAATTTGTTGGTTTCTGTTAATTTTAATTAAATATAATTAATGAGATTTTTAATTAAACATTAATCCATAAGTTTTAATTTAATTTAAGGACTAATTTTATTTATCTTCCGCCGATTCTTGGTCCAAAAAGTTCCGATTTTATAATAATGGTTTTCATTTCGATTTTGAAAATCCTTTTCTGAAATGTTTGGATTGTAATTGGAATAAAATATAAAAAATATTTGGAACCTCCAATTTCCGTTCCAATTTAATTTCCAATTTTTATTCCCGAAAAAATACACCAATAATATAAATTTATGTACTTTACATAGTGTAAATTAAGTTAAATATCTACGTATTTCTATTTTTTACCTTGTGGGCCGAAGAGTCAAGATATCATTTCCATGGTTTATAATTTGTAGTATTTAAACATAGGTGCCTATAAACAAAATTAAGAAGATATGTAGTGTATGTTGAATCGTTATAGACTTATAGTTATCTTTATAATATTAGAACTTTTGGCAAATTACAAAATCCCTCCTGACGTAAAGTTTAATTATGAAAATCCCCTTCATATTTGCATGATTACGAAAATCCCTTATGGGTCACAACATATTTAGCGCGTTTTGGGATTTTTTTGTAATAACCTAGATAGGTTATCTCCGGCTTTTTATTACCATTGTAGGGGTACTCTTTTTTTTTTTTGTGTAGGCCCACAAGGTTTTAATGAAGCCCCATTTTCGGTTTTAATGGAATAATAAAGTCTTTTGGCCAAAAAAAAATATTATAAAATGGAGAAATACATTATCGTTTTAAAATTAAAATAACTACGTTTTTGTTTTTTAATATTAAAATTTACCCCCCTAAGTAATTAATATGCTTACAATTACCTCCAAGGGAAAAAATGGCATTTTCAGAGGAATATTTCATGGAATATAATCAAAAAGATTCCATCAAAAGTAATACCGTAGGAGGATTTTCGTAACCACGCAAACACGAGGGAGATTTCTGTAATTAGAACTTACTTTAGGGGGTTTCTCGTAATTTATCCCATAATAAATTTCAATTAAACCCGAAACCTGGAAACGAAAAAGGACAAAAAATTAAATGAGAAGTTTGTTGAACTCGTATATGTAATCGGTCCTTCCTATCTGTAATTTGCAACTATGAAAATCGACTGTAGTTTTTGCCTAAGAGCATCTCCAGAGTTGTAAGCTAAAAATCGGAATACTATCAGCTCAATTTTGGTCGTCTATTCAAACCACACCCTCTAAGGTGAAAGTCGGATAAAACGGATCGAAAGTAACCTTTTCGGACTTTATTTTTCTTCGAAAGTACAAAATTAATTCCTATTCCAATTTCAAAATTTTCCGAATCTATAAATTATTTTCAACTACAAAAGTTATGGAAATTTCGGAAATCACATGAGTTTTAACATTTATAAAAAGATTCGGAAACTTTCATAAATTTTAAAAAATAAAAACCACCCAGTTTTATAAATCATAAAACTAAAACTACTAATATGATATATTCTAGGGCAAATGATGAAAAACCCCAGTGGTAAGGCCTAATTACAAAAAATCTTCTCATGTTTGCGTGATTATGAAAATCCCCTTCCGACCAGTGTTTGACGGTTAAATTCATAGAAATGTATTTTGTCCATTTTACTCTTATGATATTTGAAAAACAATAAAGGAACAATTATATATGAGAACCCCCCTGAGGTAATGTCTAACTACAAAATATCTCCCATATTTGCGTAACTACGAAAAACACCATGAGGTATGTTGTCATCTTACACAGACACCTTATAGTTCTACTTTTTCACGAAAAAAATAATATATTGATAATTACCCTAATATCTCTCGGAAGAAAGAAATAAAAGCGATGATTTCTCTATTTGGATTGAGTTAAAAAAAATTATGATTTATTTATATTTAATATATAGTTTATGCACTTCGTGTGTTTAAAATTTATTAATAAATAATGGAAATATTTGTAGCCCAAATAAGAAATACGAGAATATTTAAAAAATATGTAAACGCGATTGTATTGAATAAAAAATTAAAAAAATATATAAAAATATGAAAAAAAAAATAATAATTTATGTTACAAATTATGTTTAATTATTATTATTATTATTATTATTATTATTATTATTATTATTATTATTATTATTATTATTATTATAATATATATATATATATATATATATACACTTATATTTAATAATTATAAAATGGAGAAATACATTATAGTTTTAAAATTAAAATAACTACGTTTTTTAAAATATATTACAATTTTACCCCCTAAGTAATTAGTATGCTTATAATTACCACTCTAGGGCAAAAATGACATTTTTAGAGGAATATTTCATGTAATTAAGAAGATTCTGCCAAAAGTAACACCGTTGGGGAACTTTGTAGGACGGAACATAACTTAGGGAAATTTTCGTAATCACGCAAACATGAGAAGAATTTTCATAATTAGACTTTACCTCAGGGGCATTTCACGTAATTTGCCTTACATTTATTATTACATTTTTATGCAAAAAAAAAAATAAATAAATAAATCATGTCTTCAAAGATTGTGGTATTTCGTTTTAGAAATTTAAGTTTTGGAAGAACTCATTTTGTTTAAATTTTAATGTACCTATAATTGGAAATTAAATAAAATATACGAAAAAATAAGGTTAAAATATATATTAATAATGTCGATTTTTTTCCGAGTTTAAAATTTTGGGGAAATTGCATGTCACCCCTATAAATTTTTAATATTCGCACTTGACCCCCTTAAAATTTAAGGGATGAATGTCCCCCTTCAAAATGTTATACTTGTTGCACAATGCCCCTATAGCAAAATTACGGTGGACTATTAACCGGAACTGAGTGTTTTTTTTTGTTTTTTCATGTTGCCCATTTAATTGTTATTTTTGTTTCACAATGCGATATATCTCGTTTGCAGGTATTATTTAAGGATTTTGGGAAGTGATTTAACAATTTGGTTTGTTTCCTTGCAGCTGCTGTTTGGATCTAAAATGTCCATTGCGGTTCAAGATCCAATTTTTCCGGTGATACTTGGAAACTTTCATTACTTCGATATTAGATTTTGTAAGTGGTGGCGTATCTAAACTAAAAAAAAAAAGAAAGAAAATAGATTCAGAAAATGGTTAATTCTCTGATCTGAATAATGAAAACCCGGAAAATAAATAGAGGGAACTAATACATAAACTACGAAAAACAAGAAATTATGATCATACGAGATCCCCACATCAACTATATAGTAAAATCCCGTACGTGATTCCGTTCAGATTTAATTCCAGATATATATTCACAGATTTCTGTAGTATCTATAACTCAAAGATTTGCTCAATTTTTATTGTTTGAAATTCTGATATTTTACTCATCTTACTTTTACATGTATTCTTTCCCCGCTTCCGAGAAATGGCTCGAAAGTATTTATGTACCGATCATTCCATCATGCATTAAGACATGTATTCTTTACAGATTTATGTTACTTTTGATGTTTTCTTACAATACATGAACCAAGACAGGCCTATATAGATTCAAGCGTGATAATCGGACAGGCTGGCGATGTTGAGAAAGAATCAAGTACATGAAATGTGAACCCGAGAATAGTTTCTTCCCCGATCTCTCGAAAACCGCTAGAACAGATGTTATCTTCTTCTGCTCTCCAAACAACCCCACTGGCCATGCAGCATCTCGTGAGCAATTAGAACAGGTCGTTCGATTCGCACAAGAGAATGGATCCATCATCGTATACGACTCGGCATACGCTGTTTACATTTCCGATGAAAGTCCTCGTTCCATATTCGAAATTCCCGGGGCCGAAAAGGTAAACTTATATAAAATAAATGATCGTTTATAAAATTCGTTTGAAACTCTATTTGTTACCATAAATAAAAATGATAAAATTCACGTGTTAATTTCGACTCGATTCTTTGCCACAGGTTGCTATAGAAGTCTCATCCTTCTCGAAGATTGCTGGATTTACCGGGGTCCGCTTAGGCTGGACCGTTGTGCCAAAGGAGCTTTTGTACTCGAATGGATTTCCTGTAATAAACGACTTCAATCGAATTGTATGTACATGCTTTAATGGAGCTTCGAGAATAGCTCAAGCAGGTGGGGTCGCTAGCTTATCCAAAGAGGGTTTTAAGGTCAGTTTCTTACATCACATGTAAAGTTTGCAATAAGTGATTCTCATTTTTTTGTTTTTTTCGGGCGAAATGCTTAATTTGTGAATTTATTTCAGGCTGTAATCTCACTTATCGATTACTACAAGGAGAATGCCGAGATTTTGTTGGAGACTTTTAAGTCGATGGGGTTAAAAGTTTATGGAGGCGTAAACGCGCCGTATCTTTGGTGAAATTCTTGAGAAAACGCACATAATTACAGTTCCCGGGAGTGGATTTGGTCCAGCTGGGAAAGAGTTTATAAGGGTTACTGCATTCGGTCAAAGAGAAAACATACTTGAAGCTTCGAGAAGGCTGAGGAGCTTTCTCTAACGCATACGTAAAATGCTCTATATATTCTTCAAGAAAAAATCGGAATATTGCTATTTTCGTCGTGGAATTTCGTAGTTGGTTTAGCATATTTTGGTTTTTATACTAGCAAAAAATCGAGCATTTTTTATTATTATTGTTTTTATTTTAATAATAAAAGACTGAAAAGAGCAAAGTTTGAAATTTCTTTAATAAAATTGCATTAATATATATAATCATAGATGCTATAGCCTCACATTGTCATAAACGGAATATACTCGATCTCTGTAAATTCAGAAATCGCCTCGTTACTTACTATATATAGACAAAAGAGCGTTGACATGTCATTACAGGGGTAAGTAAATGTTCCATTTGCTACTTAAAGTGTATCTAACCCTAAAATCCCCGCAGCAACTCAAAAGACGGCACGAGCATTCAACCCGAATAGCGTCTGCATCGTCAGCAACCCGTCCAGACCCGAACAACTATTCCTCTTCATCAACCCGAACAACCCGGATAATGTCTGCATCCTCTCCAAACCGGTATTTCCGGCGATCATCAAGTTCAAACTACTCGCCCGGGGGTCGCGACCCCCCATCTCCAAGCAATCTCCAAGCAATTCTTCATCAACCCAAAAAACGCATGCATCGTCAGCAAGCTGTCGGAGCCCGCCTGGTGACTTTTTCCGACGGCCCTCTTCAAGTTCATACTCCGCGCAACCTTTTCCAAACCCCCGTGAAGTCCGACGAACGGAATCATACTCTTCAAATCGTACACATTCCCTTTGAAATACTTCCACACGTGCCTCATAAAACCATCTAAATCATCCGGCAACAATTCCCCGTTGTTCAGATTCCCCGTTGTTCAGAATCTTTGTCAAGTACGCGAAATCGTACGGCCCGTGGAAGGTGAGCCAGACCAGCCTGCCGGAATACGACCGCATCCCCAGCTCCGAGCACTTGAACTGCAGGGCGAACTCGCGTGAGTCGATCCCGTATTTCTTGTTCCGCGACAAATCGATCCCTTGTTTCTCGAGTAGGGATACGGATTCCTTGTTATAAGGGTCGACGGCAGAATCAAATTGAAAGTTGAATTCCCAGATTAGTTCCCGACCGGTTTCCGCCGAGCAGGGTAGATTGCCGTACCTGGGTAGATTGCCGTACCTGTCGAATATTGTGAGGTAGAATTCCGCCGGGGCGCGCATGTGTGGTGGAACCCCGTCGGGGTTGTAAATTGTCCCACACTTATGTTAGATATTTATCGCACATAATACGAATCCCAAGAACCAACATGCTTGAATCAACGAGAATTAAACACAAACATAAACACGGAAGCGTACCTTACATCATGGAATCGAATCTTCGAATCTCCACTGGATTTGGTGGATTTGGGACAGGTCTTCCAAAGAATCCGCAGTTCCTTAATTATCTCTCTAACGATGGATTTTAGAAGAGACGGAATGGTTGCGTTTCTTTGGGGACCACGACCCTTTATATAACTGTAGAGTCCAGTTATTTTATAATTGTGATTCAGCCCCATCAATAAATCACAACTAAGCCCTAATTGTCTCTACACATTAGGCCCATAATTATAGTTTAATACCCATAAGTCCAACCCAATAACCTTTATTAGATCACAATTAATTTGGACTTTCTTTAAGATAGCCATACACATTTACGTCACATATGTGAGCCCGCATAATTATTGAAATAATTCCAACAACTTATCGATGTAACGAAACTCCTCCTCCATGGCGTACTTGTACGTGAGACGAAGAAGAAGACGCCATTGTTTTTTCCTTTTTTCTTGTTTTTTTTTTTTTTTTTTTGTTTATTAGTAGATTTGTAGTGCGTAAGTAGGGTATATATAAACAATATGGGTAACTTGGAAGGCAAGTATTAGGGTTTTGATGCCAAATATTATGGTAACTAAATCTTTGGAAGAGTTTAACTCATTCAATTTTATTAAGAACGAATCACTATCGAATAAGGATTTTCCTTTTTGGTATTTGCATCAAATTGATTAAGACCCAACCATTATCGAACTAAGGATTTCTTCACGTATTGGTTTTTATTTTTGTCGGTTCCAACTTTTATTTTATAATATTTGTTTCAAGCTTTTTATATAGGAATTAGAAATAAATATTACCAAAAATAGGGTAGGCCCAAATATGTATTAATTAGGGTAAATTACAATCACACGTATGGCCAAATTACGAAAAAACCCCCTCTTGTATGGGTAATTACAATCATCTCTCAACGATAAATCTTCTTATACGTCCACCTTTGCGATTTCAAATTTAGTGGAATCTTCGAGATTATATGAAATATTATCACTTATGTACCCGTTTTATCCCATTTGAACTCCACATTTTGAAGCAAGATGATCATAATATGTGTTTTTTGGCTTGTATATATTAGATTGTGGTGCATCATAAACTGTATTCTTACACAAAACGAGAACAAACTAGAATACATTACATGGAATCTAGATGATTATGTTGAATTTGACACCATAAAAGTAGATGTGTAAGAAAAAGTCATAGTTAAGGGAGTAGATGTAATTATCCAAATAAGAGGTTTTTTTTTTTTTTTTTTAATTGATCATACCTCAGGGGTTGGTTGTAATTTACACTATTAACTATTACGTTTAACCACCCTAAAACACATTTTTCTAACACCGAAAAATAAAAGGGGTTATTACTTATTCATTTCTAAATTTATTCCCAATTTTTTTTTTACAATAAAGTCCAGACAAAGTCCAGATATATTTAAAAGATTAAAAATCCAAATAAAGTCAAATCGATTTTAAAATTGATGAAATCGGAGTTAAATTATGATTATAATTAGAAATTAGATTTAAATAGTTATGGATAATTTCATAAATATTAAGTTTGTATGTATTTATAATACATATTAAATATATGAATTTATTGGTAAAAGAGATAAAAACACCTAAACATAAATCAGAAACTTATGCATAGAACCCAAAATAAAATAAAATATTCCTTAACGTGCCATTGAAATTGAGAATTTGAAGATACGGATTCTAAATTCACAATCATAAATTAATTAAGTTTGTTAATATGAATTCATTTTGCAATGTATCCAAGTATATGTTTCTCAATCCTCATTATTTATCATCTTAATTCGGAATAATTTTAGTCAAATTAAAATTCACATATATGGAGTTATTTGATTTTATATTTTATATTGAAATGCAGTAGCGAGACGGAAGCCAAGTCCCCTCTTTTTACTTTTATTAATTGCACTATTAGTATGTAAATTAATTTTGTAATTCAAAAACTTGCCCCCTGAAAAGTTAAATTGTTTCAACTGACCCTTCAGACTTTATAATCCTACTTTGAATATTTAAATTTGACCCACCCAAAAAAAAAATTAACTATATGTACGTAACTAGACCTAATCTCATAAGAGGTCACTCTAATTACTCAATATGTGATCAAGGGTAAAAATATAATTTCAAAAACATTAATGTCACTATAATTACTCATTTACCTTTCCTTTGAAAGAATTTTTTTGGTGAAACTTATATTACAACACTAATATAATAATAAAAGTATAAATTACACACTAATTATTATCTATAACTGATGTTACAACACTAATATAATAATAAAAGTATAAATTACACACTAATTATTATCTATAAGTAGGGCTGGGATTGGGTTGGGTCGGTCGATTATCAGCCTTAAAACCAACCCATCCATCAAACCATTTTTGCTCAAATTTGAAAACTGTTGCCGATCCAACCTTTATGGGTCGATTGATGGTTGGCAACTGAATATTTGGTTCCGAAATGGGTCGGTTGATGGTTTATAACCGCCTCCTAGTTCACTTAAAAAAAATCAATTTTCTTAGTAAAAATATTCACATTTTGCGTAATGTCACGGTGCGATCATCATTTATCAGTTCAAAATAATTAATAACAATTTAAAGAAAAAAATATAATTAGGAAATTCAAAGTAATCCAAACATGCACAAGAGATTTAGGGCCCGTTTGATTGCTCTTAATGAGCCTCTTAATGACAACTTTGCTGATTCGGTAAGCATTTGGACCATTCAGGGCACTTGGTAGCAATAGCTGAATGGTTCCAAAAGGATCTGAACTATTCAGCTGGAAAATTAATGCTGACCGAATAAGTACATAAATGAATGAGAATTGTACCCTCACTACCTTCGTTTATTGCTACCTCGCGCAATGCACCCCCTTTTTTTTCTCAAAGTGTTCTCCACTTTTGAATACATTTATTAATTATATTTTATCCATTTGAGTTATTATTAAATTATTTTTTTTGTCTTGATCCATTATCAATTTGTCTCTTAAATATTAAAATCAATTGGTCTCTTAAATATTAAAATCAATTTCTATTGTATATCAACAAAATTCTTTCATTCATTTTAACAAAATACGTATGTAAATTCCATCATTTGTCTTAACAAAAAATAATATGCGTTACTTGTTTTTTAAAAGTCTTCATGAAGGTTTCAGCTTTCAACCCAAATACTTTTATTTTTGTCCATAAAACTTCCTTTGAGAGATCTAGAATAATTTATGTGGAATATTTTCGTATTTTACAAATTCAGTTAATCATGCTAAAAGGTTATATTTATACATACATGTCTATAATAATTCTATTAACAAATATTTTAATATTTAGCCAAGGTTAAAACAGTAACATAATATTATTCAGACATTATTGATCTTAAACCATCAAACGAGCTTAATGGTTCGTCATTTAGTATTCAGACACTACTCTTAACCATTCAGCTATGAATTCAGCATTCAGCATTCAGTGCTTAATCGTATCAAACACGGCCTTAGTGGAGTTTTGTTGTTTTTGTATTTATATTTGGGCATAACGAAACTGGTGGAAAACTTAGGTCAATTTTTTTTTTCTTTGTTAATTGTTTTTAAAATTTTAAATACTAATTATTTTGATAATTTCAATAATTACTTAAGAAAACACGGCCTTTATTTTATATTTTTAATAAATTTTAATAATATAGTTGGATGATCGATAATTATCGGTTAACCAACTTTTGATAGCATTAGAAACCACCAACCGACCCATTATAGATGGGTTGGTTGAAATTTTCAACCCGATCCAATGGGTCGGTTAAAAATTGATTATCCGCCCTAAAGTTGGTCGGTAATGGGTCGGTTGGTGGATAAAAACCAACCCAGTCCCAGCCCTATCGATAAGTAGTTAAATTGAATATTATAACATCAGTTTCGCATTTCATACATATAATTGACTAACTCAGGACACTTGAATAAATATGTCCTGCTTTATGGTGTTGTCTCTAGCTCCCTGTTTTTTAATTATTACTCCCTCTGTTCCACAATAACTGTCTCTTTTTAAAAATATTTTTGTTCAATATTATATGTCACTTTAGATTTCCAATACTGCAAATGCATTTTTTCCTGTTTTAACCTTATTAATTCAACTATAAGTATTAACTCTCTCTTATCACATCATTAAATAATCAAGGTTATTCTAGTCTTTCTAATATATTTTACCTAAAATCAAGACACATTTATTGAGCTTCTTAATCCTTGTGCAAAGCCAAAAACGACACTTAATAGGAAACGAAGGGAGTACTATTTTATAAATCATATCTTTCATTTACTGGTATTGATTTATCAAAAATACTTAATTCACTATATTTTATATACTATTAGATAATATAATATTTTTCATCAATAAACCTTGCTACATTAGAATCTCAATTATTTTAACATTCCTAAATAAATATAATTTCTTTAAGAAAATTATTGTTGTAAATTAAATATATATTATTCTAACACATGTCACAAATAGAAGATGATCTCTACCGGAAATTGGAAAAAAGATAAATGAAAAGAATAATGGGTAATATTAAATTTATATTCAAATTTCAAGTGTCGATATTTAGATCAAGGAGAGCATAACATAAGTAACACGAAAAAAATCTTAACAATTTCAAAAAATATTTATGTAGAAAAAACTCATTAAAATGAAAATTGTTTCAATTTTCACAATAAAATGAAAGAAAAATCAATGTGAGCATGTATGAAATAAAAAATTATTTTAGTTATTTTGATCTTCATTTTATATTCTTATTCATTTCATTTTTAAAAGAATTGTATATCACCATTCATGGAAACATATCAGAACATTAATTTTTGTACTTACTTAAT